CTTTCTTTACTAGTTCGTGCGTGAGGAGTGGAGTGAGGATGACTTGTCCTGTGTGTGGGGGTGACAGCCCACCCATTTTCCCTGTATCTCAGCTTTCAAGGTTTCGATTAATTCTTATCCTGCTTACTATAGGTAGGAGAATCTTTCACTTCTCTCTCTTTCTCAGGTATTATTGCCAATACTTCTTTACCTTTTTCTGCAACCTTTTGAGCCGTTAGATCAGCTGATCTATTGCCTCTTTCCTGTGGGTTTCGTCCGGTTTGATGGGCTTTACAATGCATAACAGCAATTTCTTTTGGTCTTTGCGCACTTTCAGTCAGTTTCAAAATTCGTCCTGCGTGTTTAATTCTGGTTCCCTGAGATGACAACAGTCCTCTTTCTTCCCAGATGGGTCCATGTGCATGTAATACTCCAAATGCATATTTAGAATCAGTCCATGTGTTTACTCGCTTTCCCTCGCTCAGCTCCAAGGCTCCTGTTAACCCACTGAGTTCTGCTTTTTAAGCTGAGGTGTTTGAGGGCAGAGCTTTTGCTTCCACAACTGCATCTTCAGTAATTACTGCATGTCCTGACAGCCGGATTCCTTCTTTTACAAAGCTACTCCTGCCAGAATGTAACTCCCGCTCTGGCTTTCCAAGGAGATGCCCTTTAAATGAGGTCGACTGGAACATACTTCCTCGATAGTCTGCAGGCAGTCATGCGTAGGTTTTGTTCTCTTTGTCTCAGGTTGCCGAGATGACAGAAGGGCTGCTGGATTGACAACTGCAGTTGTCTTTACAATTGGCAAGTTGAAAAATCAATTTGCTTACTGTAAGAAAGAAGGACACTGGAAAGCAAAGTGTGACACTGGAGGGGCCGGCTCTTCTCTGCCAGCAATGAACGCAGTTGGCACCGCGGAATGAAGGGGACCGGAGGAGACTTCCCCAGCAGCAGCTCTGGTTAAAATAAGGCTGGGGGAAGATCAAACAGAAGTAGAATTGTTAGTAGGTACTGGAGCTGCTTCTTCAGTTTTAAACGAAAGAGATGTTGAATCTAGCAAGAAATTAGCTGGAGCTGTTGGTGAGACTGGTCAAGTGGAAACCAGACCATTCTTTAGGCCTCTAACATTCAGAATTGGAAAAGAGTGGGTGACAGAGCCATTTTTCTCTTTCCCCGGAGCTCGGAAGCCTTTAGTGGGACGTGATCTGTTAGAGAAATGAGAAGCTGAAACAAACTGTAAAGGCGGAGAGGATGATGTGTTAACTCCCGAATCGAATCTTGCCTGAGCAACTGTGTTGTTATGAGAGGACGACAGGATTCTGAGAGGTGCCGAGTCCTTCCCCGGCGCTGGCCAGGAGGGCAGAGGAGCTGGGAAGGCGCCTCAGACCCTGCCCGGCTGCGGCCGTGGCAGGCTGCTGGGAAGGGGGCCAGAAGATGAGGCGGCTCCTGCCCGGGGGCCAGCAGCTCTCCCCTGTACAGCCCCAAGAACTGGGTGACACCTTCACCCTCTGAGACGCAGGGGAGATGGAAGCTGCGGCCACAGCCCCTCTCCCAGCAGGGGATGGCAGCCCCCATCTCCCTGCAGACGAAGCGAAAGCGCAGAAGCCCCCTCAGCAGCAGGCTGAGGGCCGGTGCGGCCAGCCCCACACCTCCAGGCAGGGCACAGGCTGTGGGCACTGCCGGCTCACACCCCACAGATCTGCCTGGCGCACAAGGCTTTTGCTGGTGCTGAAGCCTCTGCGGAGCTGCTGGGAGCAGGCATTTGTCCCCGGGCTGGGGAAAGGGCCGGGGTTCCTTTCTTGGGGCTGCGGAGTGTCCAGCCTTGGAGGCAGGCCCAACCCGGCCGGGTACGGGCCTGGGCAGCCTGCTCCAGGGGCCGCCGCTTCAGCAGGCGCTTGCACTGGGGGGTGTCCAGAGGGGCTGTGGCGGGAACCCCCGGAGAAACACAGAAACCAGGAAAAACAGCAGGGATTGGGATAGACAATGAACCAACGCTCCGCAACCACACAGCCAGCAGGTTCCAGTGTCCGTGAGAGGAGAACAAGCCGTCACCAGAGAAACTTCTCTGGGGGCCTAACGACAGCCCGAAATGGTGACCAGGGGTTTCATGGCAACCGAAAAGGCCCTCCAGGGGTTTACTGACAAGCCGAAATGGTAACCAGGGGTTTAATGGCAACCCAAAACAATCTCTAGAAGTTTAGAGACAACACAAAACGATCTCTAGGGGGTTAACGAACACACAAAACTCTAACCAGGTTTTTAACCGAAAACCCCAAATGCTCAATCAGTCACCTAATGAAGGATAAGGGCTCTCAACCTCAAGGAACAGCTTTGGGCAGTGTCCCAGCCCAAGGGCAGAGTCCTTACCTGCAGCACGCTGCTCCGGGTGGGACGAGCTCAAACTGGCTCCCCAGGGACTCCATTTCTACCCGAGCCGAATGTGACCTGGGGTCAGTACCAGCCCGTTCTGGCTGAGGGCCCCAAATACCACAAAGCCCTGAGAACAAGGGCACAGGAGAGGTTCAACCGCCAGGCAGCCCGATTTTCATCGGGCGGGTGAACCTGCCACAGGTGCCCTCCAACCTCAACCGTTCTGGGATTCTGTGAAAGGCAGACTTGCCTGTGTTGAGAGGGACTTTGTTGATCAGAGGCACGCCTAAAGTGATGAGCACAGAAATGGGAACGGGGCCAGCTGCATGGGGATGTGGGGTGACGAAGATGGGGACTAGGATGCACCAAGCAAAGGAGCAGGGACCCTGAAAGGTGTGGGCTCTGGGGCCTGTGGCAAGCATGTGACAGGGGTGGCACCAAGAACAGAGGTGGGGACCTCACTGGGCATGGAGTTGGGGACAGCACGGAGCATGTGTCCTGGTTTTCTGCGTGTCGTGGTTTAAAGCCAGCCAGCAGCCCAACACCACGCAGCCGCTCGCTCACCCTCCCCTGCCCAGAGGACGGGGGAGAGAACTGGAGGGGCAAAGGGAGATGCATAAGTTGAGATAAGAACAGTTGAATGACGGAAAGAAAAGAAAACAGGAATAACTACGAGTCTCCTTCTCAGGGAATAAACGGGTAATGGACCATGTGATTGCTCACCACCTGCTGACCGAGGCCTAGACTAGTCCTGGCTCGTGATCCCGGAAAAGCCAAGATCCCAAAACCACAATCCCAGGAGCGAGAGAGAACCCCCTCCTTCCCAGCCAAAGCTCCTCTATGTACCCAGCATGACGTTCCATGTTATGAAATATTTCCTGGGCCAGTTTGGCTCCTGTGCTCTGGCCGTGCTCCCTCCCCGTTTCTTGTGCACCTGCGCACGGGCAGGACACGGGGAGGTGGAGAGTCCTTGATATCTCAGCAACAGCTGAAAACATCAGTGTATTATCAGCGTCCTTCTGCTACCAAATCCCATACCGTACCCAAACCCCAGCACTACTCTAGCTGTGAAGGAGGAAAATTAACTCTCTCCCAGCCAAAACCAGGGCACTGCAATAAATGCCCACGTCACGGTTGGTGCATCTTCAGGCAATGAGGTGCAGTGATCCAGCTAATCCCTGGTTTTGTCCAAGAGCTCAGTGGAAGTGGGTGGCTCTGTGTGCCACGAAAAGCACAGATCCCCCGGAGGAATCAGGGCCTGCAGAGGAGGCGGCACAGCCAGATGGCCCAAGTACCAGCCTCGCCCCAGTCTCCTGGGGTTCTCATTAGGCCCGCAGCAATACTTTTAGTCTAAGCTTATTGGGAATTTGGGCTGGATCAGTGCGCTCCCAGGAGGCGTTTTAGGGAAATGTTTTAGTGGTGGACATGGAAGTGTTTGATTTACGTTTAGACTTGATGATTTTTTCCAGCCTAGATGATTCTGATTCTGTTCGTTCTCTAGTGCTGTCTTGCTCCTCCTCTTCTTCCTCCTGTTCCATGCTCTTCTCACCTCCCCTCTACTCAGCGGGTCGGGCTGTCTGTCATCCAAGGCCAAGCTCTGACACAGGAAAGCTGCACAACCTGTGCTCAAGCTTCCTGGGAATTTGCAGAGGTGGGAGAAAGAACAGAGACAAACCTTGCCCTGGTGGGAAAGGGAAGCTGCAGAGAGGGCGGATGGTTGGAACCTGCAGAGTGAGGAACTCAAGACTTCAAGAGCAGAAAACCAACAACAAAAGATGTAAAAATCTGAATGGAAAAAAATCAGTGAGCTGGAAGAGAGTGACGCAGCGAGACTAGATCAGCCCCGTCACGGAGCAGCGGACCCCCAGCCTTCCCCGCCCCGGCTGAAGCCTGCCTGGCCAGCAAAGGTTCTGCAGTGTCCTCACCTGCAGGGAGCACGCCAACCCCCCCCGCCTGCCTTGCTGCCCTGTGCCAGCTTTGGTGTACAGCAGCTTTCCTGCTGAAATTGCACACACCCTGCTGGCAAAGCCTCTGCACGTGGCAAAAGATGCACCGAGGGCACCCGACAAGGCAACGCTACAGCAGGTACCTAAGGCGATTTTTTTTTTATTTTTTTTTTTTTCTTTTTCTTTTTCCCCCCCGAGAAGGCAAAATTGCCATTCAGTGTCGTGGTTTAACCCCAGCCGGCAAGTGAGCACCGCGCAGCTGCTCGCTCACTCCCACCACAGCAGGAAGGGTAAAAGTGAGAAAACTCACAGGTTGAGGTAAGAACAGTTTAATAACTGAAATAAACCAATATCAAATTGCAACAAAAAGGAGAATGACAAAGACAGGGAAATAGAACCCAGGACAGACAAGTGATGCAAATGAAAACAACTGCTCAGCACCAACTGACCGATGCCGAGCCAGTCCCCCCCCGAGCAGCGGCCCCCTGCCAACCACCCGCCCAGTTTCCCTGCTGAGTGGGACATCCTACGCTATGGAACAGCATAACCCCGTCCCAACCAGCACGGCTCCCCAGCACAAGCCAGGATTTGGGTGCTGGGACAAACAACGCGCCAGCTGGGCAGAGCGCAGGGGCCTTTTCACGCCCCCAGCTGTCTCGGGAGGGGCAGCCTGGGCTAAAGCCTCTCTCCTCCTCCCCTCCTGCGCTTTGGGCTCTGGCGGGGCAGCTGGGGCTGCGTCACAAGGACACCCTGGCTCCCAGCGTGCTGTCCTCCAGGCAGCGCCCAGGAATGACACTGCTCAGCACACCCAGGGCGGTCCCCACGGGAAGGACCCCGCGGGACTGGGCTTGTTGCTCCAGCCTTGGTGGAAAAGAAGTCGGCAGGGCCGCGTTCCGAAGAGTTTCATCCCTGCGGCGCTCAGCAGAGCCAGCAGCCCAGCGACCGCAGGCGCCATCTCCATGTTGGGCTCCACTCTGTCAGGGTCAGGACTGAGACGGTGTGAGCTGCCACAGACCTGACCGAGAGTTCGGGGTCTTTCGCCAAGGGCAGGAGGGCTGCCAGGGAAGGAAGCAGAGCAGACGTCAATCCCCCGCCCCCCCCCAGGAGCCCCCTCCAGAGCGTGCCAGAGCCAGGCATCCCCTGCCCCGGCCAGGAGGAGCAGGCGAGACAAACAGCCAAACAGCCGAGCTGGCAGCTGCTGCTCAGACCGCTCCGAGGGCCCCTGACTCGCTCCTCTGCCCCCGGAGCAAAGCTCTCCCTGCAGCGCGGCCAGGCACGGCAGCAGCCTGCCCGGGCTCTGGCCCCTGCCCCAGCAGCCCCAGCCAGCACAGCACTGCCCTTCCTCACCGTTACAGATCTCCCAGCGCTTCTCCTGGCTGAGGTTCCGCAGGCGCTGTGCAGCCAGCCCTAGGCACAGAGCTCCCCTCAGACCTCTGCTCCCCAGCCCACTCCCCGCAGCACGGCCCCCGGCCCTCGCTCGGCTGCACGCCCTCCTCCCCCTCCGCAGGGCTGTCCCCAGGGCAGGACAGGACCCGAGGGAGCTGAGGCTGAGGCTCCCAGCGAGCCCACCTGCGTGCGGGGCCCGTCCTCGGGGCAGCCGGGGCTCTGGCAGCCCCAGGGCTGCCCCTCGCTGCCAGCGCAGCGGCGGGGGCTGGGGCCGGGCTGCCACAAGAGGGTCCCCAGGGGCGCTGGCTCACCGAGGAAGCTGGCGGCCGCCTCTCGCAAGCTGGCCTGACTGTCCTTCAGGTACGGCAGGCTCTGGCGCAGATATTCTTCCGCCCTGCTCCTGTCGGGCGCTAACTGGAGAGAGCAAAAGGGTGCGGGGGATGCTGCAGCCCCTCCCCGGCCAGCCAGACCAGTCCCTCCTCCCCCCGGCGATTCCCAGCTGCCATCCAGAGCCCGGGGGGGGGCTGAGCTTCAGGGAGAGCCGCGGGCAGAGGGGGCCCAGGGCTGGGGAGACCCCTCCGTCCTGCTGCCAGGGCCCAGAGGGGCCGGGCTCTCCTTCAGCGCCCAGGGCTGGGAGGCGAGAGGGGCCTGGAGGAGAGCCCCTGGGGCCTCCGTGCTGGAGGGAAGGGGAGGAGGGGGCAGCTCCCGGCTCTGGGCTGCGGGCTGGAGCAGGGCAGGCGGGGCAGAGCTGCGCAGGCCCTGCACCCCAGGCGCGGCAGGCAGCCCTCGTCCAGCCCGGCCCGGGGATTTGGGGGTCGTCCTCACCAAGCACTCCCCAATCAGGCGTGTCTCACATGTCTCGGCCAGGGAGCTGAGCCTCGTCCACCCCAGGAACTCTGCACAGCTTGCGAGGGTGTCCCTGGAGGCCTGCAGAGAAGCAGAGGCTGCCAGATGGCACCACAGCCTGCGGAAGGAGACCCGGCGGCCTCCTCCTCCTCCACCGCCTCCTCCTCCTCGCGGCCAGGCTGCGGGCCGTTCCCAGCCCCTCGGGAGGAGAGGAGCAGGCAGGGCAGGGCAGGGCATTTGGGGAAATGTCTGTGCAGGGGCTCTCCGGCCCTGCTGGGGCTGGGGCTGCAGGGACCCTCCCTCTGGGATGTGCTGGAGGAGGGCTGAATGGGGAGAGCAGGGCTGGCAGGGGAACCCCACCTCCCCATCCACCTCTGCAGCAGGCAGCAGCAGCGGGAGGAGAAGGCGGGCAGTGGGGGGACCCGTGCAGGGAAGGAGGGGAGCGGTGGCACCCCGAGGTGACACACGTTCCCAGGCTCTGACATCCAGCAGCCCTTGCCCCTCAGGCCCCAGACACCGCCGCGGTGCCGGCACCTCCTTCCCCGAGACACTGCTCACTGCACCTGGGCCACGCTCTCGCTCCGGTCGGCCACGTGGAGCAGCAGCGGGAGCAGCACCCTCCGCACTTGCAGCGCCATCTTCTTCTTGTTTCTCCCCTGCTTCGCCACAGCCTTCACCACCTCTCGGAAGAGGCTGATGGAGAGCTCCCGCAGCTGGCTGCACTCCTGGCAGGGAGGAGGACAGAGGGCCTTCAGCACCAGCCGCTCCCTGCCCGCAGCGAGCAGGGCCGTTAGCGTGGCTGACGGGAGGGGAGATGCTCTGGGGTCGGATCCTCAACACAGGAGCTGCGGGCCAGATCTGCAGGCTCCACGACCCCAGAGCCCCGAGAGGCTGTGCCAGGGGAGTGAGGACCGGGGCTGAGGAGCCCTGAGGATGCTGGCTCGGGCTGAAGGGCAGCTGTCTTTGCCGAGGGCCCATCTGGAGAGCTGAGGCTCCCACGGCAGCCTTACGTCATCAAAGAGGGGCAGGAGCTTCTCCGCCAGCTGCAGAGCGATGAGGCTGGCCTCCTCCTGCTTCAGGTGGACCAGCAGGTTCCTGAAGAACAGCAGGGCCTTCGTCTGGACGTCAGCACTGGCGTCCTGCAGGGTCTCCACGAGGTCTGGCACCAGCACGGGCATTCTTCTGGCCTGGGCGAAAACACACCATTTCCTTACCGTGACACGGCGAAAGCCTGCCCTGGCCAAAATTCACCGGTCGCTGAGCACCAGGCTCCCAGCCGACTCCCCAGCAGGTACCACGGGAGCCACCGCAGCAGCCTCCTGGCAGGCAGTGGCCACTGACGAGGATGCAGAGCAAGCACGAGGAAGGGCGGGAGAGCAGCAGCCCCTGCTCAGCCACCCCTTTTTCCCACCGGCCCGAAGAGCCAGGGGATCGGGAACCCCCTGGGCCTGGAGGGCTCCCCGGGCACCCACCAGGCCCCTCCTCCAGAGCAGGCAGGGAGGGTGCTCGGAGCTGGCAGCCCACATTCTGACTCCCAGCCTTGCAAGGCCAAGCCGCCCCGTTGCCCACTGCCCCAGGCCCCGGCTGCTACAACACGGCTCCGCTTGACTCCACCCTGGCTCACCATCTCCGGGCTCTCGGAAAGCGTCAGGAGGACCCTGAGCACCAGCGAGAGCATCAGCGGGCTCGGATGCCTCAGGTACCGCTGGGCTTTGTAGAGGGCAGCAAACTCCTCGGGGTCAACGCCAGGACAGACCAGCAGCTACAAAGGAGACAGCGGTGAGAGCCCGGCAGAGCCTGCAGGGCTGCCTCCCCCACGCTGGCACAGAGGAGCACGACACGCAGGGGGGGCCTCCTCTCCCCTCGAAGCCCCCGCAGAGGGCCCATGCCTCTGCCCCGGGCCCAGCAACTGGCCTGGCTCTGGCTCGTGCCCCTTTCTCTGCCCCTGCCCCAGAGCTCCAGGCTGCAGAGCCGGGCAGGGGGATGAGCAGGCAGGGGGGAAGCAGAGCAGCGCCCGGGCAGGGGCAGGCTTCGTGCGTTTTCAGCAGGGCCAAAGCAGCACGGGGTGGCCCCAGGGCTCTGGCCCGGGCTCTGGCGGGTGCTGGGCAGGTCCCTGCTGCCCCTGGCTCGGGGGCTGTGTCCGTCTGGACTGGAGGAAGGGGCCGTTTGGAGGCAGGCAGAGCGGGAGGGGGCCGGGCCTGTTTCCCGGGGGTGGCAGGCACAGCCCCGAAGGGGAGGTGGGTGCACGCTCACTCACAAACAAGGGGTAGATGCAGGCATCCTCCGTGGCAGAGCTGAACACCTTGCGCAGCTTCTGGTCCTGGAGCACGTTGAGCAGCTCCATCAAGACGTTCCACAAAGCCCAAGGCACGGAGAGCATCACCTCCCACATGGCCAGGGCAGCGCTGCAGACCCAGAGCGCTCGCTCAGCAGGGCTGCCTCGGCCACTGCGCCGTGCCCGAGCCAGCTCCTCCGGAGCCAGGCGGGGCTGCAGCCCCGGCCCTGCCCACCCCCCTCCCTTGGGGTGCCCGGGGGCCCTGCCCGGGCAGGCACAGGGGGCTGAGCTGGGCTGCCCCAGGAGGCAGGGAGGAGCGAGCTCGCTTCGCCAGCTTGGCCTGCCGCAGGCCTGGCTGACCCACAGGCACTGGGAAGTGCAGGGGGATGGAGGGCCCTGCTCCTCGGGGGGGTCCTCACATTGCCCAGGCCCCTCTCCCCATGGGGAAACAAGCCCCCCCACCCCGGGCTGCCCAGACCAGGACCTGTCACAGGCCGGAGAGATCTTCAGCAGGCTCCCCACCACTTCTTCGGAGCACCACTTGATCAGCAGGAGAAGGAGCGAGTCCAGGCTGTGCCGGGCTGGCTCGCTCTGGATGCGCTCCACGGTTCTGTGGATGGACCTCGTCACCTTTGGCACCTGGAGGGGACACAGGGGCAGGCGGTGCTGCCGCTGGAGTGCAGCCATCGCCCCGGCTGCTGCTGAAACTGCTGCCCTTCGCCTCGCTCTCTGCAGCCTTCCAATGGCTTCGGGGGCCCGCGAGAGCTGCCTTCGGGAAGGAGGGAAGAACAAGGCCTGGCAGGGCTCACGGGCAGGGCCATCCAGCCCCGGGGCACTTACATCCGTCAGCCAGCCGGCAGGGTCTCTCACGGCCATGTCCACGACGCTGCTGCCCATCTGCCTGTCGGAGGCGTCGTCTGATGCCAAGGCCTCAATGGCCACCAGGAGAACTTCTGTCATCTGCGAAGGCTGGAGGTGTTCTCCAAACACCTGCTCCAGGAAGGGAGGCAGGGAGGGAGGGAGGGAAGACGTGTCACGCCGAGCACCCCGACAGTGCAGCTTGGCTGAGTGGTGCCAACAGCTCCGCATCCCTTTGCTCACACAAGCCGAGGCTCCTGCCGATGACACGGACAAGAGTCCCAGCGAGGGGGGAGCTCCTCACCGTCGTCATGTCGCTGCTGTCGAACGAAGACAGCGACCAGGTGCTCTCAGAATCCCGTCCTGGCTGGGGAGGCTCCTCTGACCATGGGTCGCCTGCACGGAGGTTGGGAAACACAGAAGAGTCGTCGCTGGGGAGGCAGCAGGGATCTTTGCCAAGAAGCCTCCCAAGCAGTGCAAAGAGCACGGAATTCAGCAGAGCCGAGGGGGGAGGCTGTGCTGGGGCCAGCCGCCAGCCCCGAGCAGCCCCGGCACTCTCGCACCCCTGGGACCAGCGGCCCCCCAGCTGCCAAGGTGCCGAGGCAATGGGATGCTGGCATTGAGCCGGTGGTGCTCACTGGCCCCAAGCCTGCCCAGCCCCGGGGGCCCCTCACTCACCGGCCTGCAGCGGCTGCACCATGGACACCTCGTGGGGCTCCAGCAGAGAGCTGCTCTCCTGGGGAGCCCCCACCTCCTCCCAGGCCACCCTGGGGTGGAGGGGGGGTCCCTCTGCCGTCCTGCAAAATGGAGGAAAGGGGCTGGGGGCGGAAGGGGGGGTGCAGCTTAAGGGAAACTGCCGGCGGGGGCGGGGAAAGACTTGGGCTGCGCCTCGCCAGCTCCGAGCTCCTGCCCTGTCCCATCGCTGTCTGGTCAGACACTGCGGGGCTGCAGCCGCGCGGGCTCGAGATGGTGTCGTGGGGTGTCACAGGGGCCCATTGTGACCCGCCACCCAGGCCGGGAGGGGCAGGGGCTGCACCGCGGGGGGTAGGCACCCAGCTCAGCATTGGCCCACAGGCCCTCCTCTCAGGGTGCCCCAGGCCCCCAGCTCTCCTTCTGGCCCCCTCAGAACGCTCCGGGACCCTCCGGCTCAGCCCAGAGCCCCGTGTTCACATGCCTGCCACGGCCCCGGGACCCATCTGGGACACCCCTGCTTCTCCCCCTCCGTGGAGTGCTCTCTTTGCGCCTCGGCACCTTCTGGCACCTCACAGTCAGCTCCTTTCTCCCACGCTGAAAATCTCTCCCGGCACCAGGAAGCAAAAGAGGTTTACGCCTGCTCCTCTCCTCCACTCTCTGGGGACGCGCCTGTCGATGGGACCGTTCCAGTATCACTTACCAGATGCTGTCAGAACAGGAAACCCCAAAGAAATGTTCTCTTCTCTCCACTGCCGCTTTAACATCTTTAATCCGTGTCCTCCTCTACAGCCTAAGAGACACAGAACGTGAGGAGCCTTTCAGAAAAGTCTTCTCTAAGCACACGGATCTCACTGGGATCCAAACCACAGCCGACTGCTTTGAACAACTTCCAGGCTGCTCCTTCTTTTGGCCTTATAGAGATTTCTTGCCATTTCCAAGGTGGGCAGTGGGGAGGATAGACGCTTCCGGATGGTGTGTCTGCCCTCTCATTACCTACGGAAGCTGTCACTGACTTCTGTGGTCATCAACCCTGGCTTGAGGTGCAAACAACCACTTTAGAAAGGAAGAAACTGTTGGAGATGGCAGACCACGAAAGGAGAACACTCGTCGGCCCGGAGTGAAACTGGTGACAGCAGAAAGGGAAAACCTACCAGGCAAAAGACTGGAAAGGACAGCGTCAGGGGGAAAGAGGGACAAGGAGGTGCAGCTGAAAAGGAGCCGGGGACGCCGGGGGGTCCCAGTCCAGCAGCCCCGTGCCTGCTGCCCTGTGCAGCCTGCAGCAGGGCAAGAAACCTGCTGCCCCGACTGTACCGCCTGTGTTTGCCTGGTTGCTGTAGTCACGGGCCGGGGAAAGGCAATCCGCTTTCAAAACCCTTCACCCCACACTGACCCTGCTGCAAAGGGAAGGTCTGGACCCATCCTGTTTGTGCTGTCTAAGACTCCCCCCGTGTGAAGGGTAGATGGGAACGGGCTGCGTCTCCCCGGCCAGCGCTTGTGCCAAGCCCCTGCCCCCCTTCACGTGCCGGGGAAAGGCAATCCGTTTTCGTGGCGTAGATGCAGTTTGCATTCAAAGCACGCAGGGAGCAGCCCTGCTTGCGGCAGGCAGGCGGGCAGCAGCTTGTTCACACCCAGCCAGCAACTCCACCAGTTGTGTTACAGACACCCTAATAAAATAGCTTGGATCCTAGAAGATCATTCTGATTTTAGTTTAGAGTATGATTTTGATTTTAATATGGAGTTATAGCTGCTATGAGAATATAAGGTATGTTAAGGCCCTCAGGAACAGGTAACTAGCGTGATGTTTGCCTTGATCATACAGGAATCGTTACGGACTTCGAATTAAAACAACGGGTACTGGTTATGGACCTTGAGCCAACCGCTCCCGAGAAGAGCGATTCCCACCTGCCGGTCCTGGCCCTGGCATTCCCCTCCCCACATTCCTCTGCAGATTGATGGCTGCAGATGAAGCACGGCGTGACTCCTCGGGCAGGCTTGCACTCTTCCAGCCGACAGCTTGATCAGAGCTTGGCCATCCCTGTGGCATGCCGGCAGCTGGAGTCCTTCAGCCCATGACACGCTGGCAGCTGGGGTCGCTGCCCGGCAGCTCTGCTCACTGGGCATCATCACCCTCTGGTAGTACCAAGACGTCAGCTCCTAATTCCATGTCCTGAGAGTAGCTTCCCACTGTCACCTGCTGCACACCAACAGCAACAGCACTGTCCTCTCCCCTGCCCAGCTCCACACTCGGGAGAAGGCGTTCACATACCCCTGGCAGCCACCCTTGCAGCCTGAAAATTCCTCCTGTGCTGCTCCGGGCCGTGAAAACTCTCACACTATGGCTGTACCCACATTCACTGTTCTCATGCCGAGCGACACTGCCCACTTCTGTGTATTCCCACATGTCTACAGCCAGCTATTGCCTTCTGTCTCGTAAGCATTTTGGAAAAGCACACTTTTGTTTTCCTGAATACCTGCTCTGACCTCACTACAGCACAGGCCCAGAGTCCAGGACTGTGGCCGGTAAAGTCCAGAGCAGTAGAGAACTGTGCGAGAATGGAAAATACCCAGGAGTTCAGCTCCTTTCAATTGTTTAAGACGAGGCTTTTGGCTGCAACACCGTCCAGATAATTTAAAACCAGAACTCACCTACATGCCCTCCTTGACTGGCACCTCTTTCTTCACCAGTTCTTTGCACTTCTTTCTTTCCTCTGGAGTACTTCTCGAGTTTTTCTGTTTAAGAGACACAAGAGAGACCAATCACAAAAATGCAGAAAACCTGCCAGTCACACACGTACCGAGGCCCTGCACATACACAAAAGATGAATGCGCCGGGGAGGAGAGAGCAGGAGCAGCCCTCCGGCCCCCAGGAGTAGGAACAAGAATTGCTGCTCTGAACCGGGGCTCAGTCCTGTGTGCAAGTACAGTACTGACCCCGACAGGAGGCTGGGGGTGGCAGTTAATCCCAGGTGACACACACACACTCTACCTGCTCCCATCGCCTCCTGACGAGCAATTGTTTTCCAGGCTCTTCTTCCATCTCACTGCAGCTAAGATACCTGCGCTCTGGCTCATGGCTGGCTGGGGGAACTTCTCGGTGCTTTAACCTTGCTGCAGGCTTGGCAAGAGCTCGAGGCTTCATCCCTTTGGCTTGGCCCCAGCAGAAGGTGGGCAACTGGCAGGTTTGCAAGTGGCTGGATGGAACTGAGCTGGTACGCCTACTAGAGATTAAAAACCAAGCGAAGAAAAATCCCGGAGAAACTGTGTTAGAGAGCAGCAGAAAGAAACAGAATGGTTCATCGCTGTTGGACACACAGGGTTTGCAATTCTGGAGACTGCAGCTCCCGACAGACTCGGCTCTTTGAATGGAAACACCCTTTAACTTTTGATCCTGACAGAAATGTTACAGGCTGACCCCGTCCCTTCTTTGCAGTTGCCCGAAGCGTTTACTTGCCCCTGTCCAGTTCTCTCCCGTGCTTACAAAGTACGCTTAGTCTGCAAAACAGTCAGCACTACAAACTGGCAGCCAAATGCCTCTTCCCTCAAAGACGTGAAAACTGCACTTAAAGACACCACAGGTTCCATGACAAGCCTTCTGCTCTGGGTTAGGTTTTAAAAAGCAAGGTCTTCTGAACCTCTCTTTTCCAGCTGCTGCCAACCTCTGGAGAACAGGTCTGGTTTTGATCAGATGGGTGACCAACGCTAACTGCCAAAATCCAGTACAGGATGTTACACTGCAGGCTTCAGATTGTCCAGCCCAGCCCGAAGGACTGAACGACCTCCCTCCTGCCACGGGGCTGACTGCAGTATTGCACATCCCCTGGCTTCTCAGGCTCTTCCCCAGCAGGCTCCTTCTGCCCACTGTGCTACAGGCCAATACACAGTCCCAGGGAAGCATATTCTGGACCCACTCTGGCATCTCCGGTCGGTGATGATACAGAGATGCTCCCACAGCACGCTGTGCTCCTCTCGCCTGTTCTGCCCTCTCTCCATTGCCCCTTTCCTCATCTCCGGCCACCGGTTTGGGCCTTCGGTCAGATCTCCACTGCTTATAAAACTCCCCCGTTTCAAGGAAAGTCGGCAAGATGACCACGTCCTCCCGATCCTTGTCCCTCCTGGGAACTCTGCTCTGGCGACCACTACAGAAAATGGATGGCAGCATGATCACGAAAACATCAAGGCTTGCCCCAGTGGTAGGTGGCATGAGATTTGCTGCTGTTCTGCAGGGAAGCACAGCGCAAAGGAAAGCTTGGGAGGTTTAAGCACTGACAACTTGACGGGGCTCTACTGGCCTTTTCGCTGCCTTCTGCAGACCTCCCGGCTGTTAACGTGCCAAACTTCCCAGTCCCCTGAGTTTCCAGATGGCTTATTTGGGCTGGGACTAGAGCATCAGCTGACACCGGTTACTTGTCTGGCAGAAGCAATGCCCAGAGTTTCTGATGCACCTCCTGAGCACAGGAATGCCAACAAGGGATCGCTATGGCTCACATCATTGAAAGCTCTCCTCATTTAAGAAACTCTCATCATTTAAGACCATTTAAGAGTAACTCACATCATTTAAGAACCCACAACAGGCAACCGAATGTGGTAATGAGCACAACGGGGTCTTTTCGGAATCATGATCTACCGCTTTTTCACGTCCGTATTTTCTGCACCACGGGGAGGAAACACAGCCTCTGCGAGCCCTGCAGTCAAACACGGTTCTGCAGGACAAGGGTGGGGGGAAGAAAGTAGAGAGACCTGAACAGGGAATTTCCAAATTTGTGATGAGTCAAGTAGAAACAGTTGCAAAGTCTAGCATCAATTTACAGAAACTGAAACCTGCTGGAGCCAAGTAGGAGAAGTGAGTATTACGGAGAACTAGAGGGGAGCACTGCAATCAAAAGGGTAGGCAGCACAGGCAGATCTAAGCACACATTTCCACCTGCCTGCCTGAAACAAAAGAGCCTTATGATCCCAACCGCTCACGTCACCCTGGAATAATCCCACTCCTCGTCCAAAAGCTACTGCGCACCTGGCCGAGGAGGGATACAATCCACACAGGGAGCAATCAGAGAAACACTGCACTTTCCCTGGAAAAAATTACATTTAAAAAACAGCCAAAAGAAAGTCCCCTGATACTGCAAGAACCAGGAAGCTTCAAGTCCTTAACAGGCTGACTGGAGCTTCCAGCTGTGGTAAAACCTCTGTAGCCGTATCATCCCGTTTAACATATATATCGGAGTTCGGTAGCCCCAAGATCCATCCTCCGCCCATGTTGCAGGATCATAATAGGCTATTATTCTCTCTGGAGGCCAATCATTATTTCCAATTCCCAATTTTTAAATCTCTCTTGTATCCTCTCAATTGATCAGAATCTGTACATACAGGAACCCCAATCGTTCTCCTTTACCTATGGGCAACAAGAAGAAGCTAGGTCTTATGGTACCTACTATACATGACCCAACCCAATTCTTGGTAAAGATGCGAAAGCTAATTTTCCACAATCCAATAGTGTCCCTTTGGTGCAGGCCAACCATTAGGTATTTTTTTACCACTGGTCCAGTTGGCCACTTGTGGATTTATTGCCATTGGATTTCCCTATTTATCCCAATCCTTTCTTGTTCTATTCCATATATAGCCTCCTTCACAAATTAAATTTCCCACCGGTTCCCCTTCCTTAGCTAAATGTTGGAAACAGCTTCTCCCTATTATATTAGTTTGTAAAATCCACTGTTGTTTCCTATCCTGTTTATTCACCTTCCATATCTTAGGGTCAGTTATATTACTCTCCAAGGCTTCCCAAGGCCAGTGTTCTCCCTGATTTGTCCCTCCACACACATAACAATTAGTTACTTTTAGTGCTTTTGCTATATTTTCAGCAAGGTTCACAAACAGATTTTTAGCAACTGTGGGAATTTCATACTGGACTCCTGTTTCCATTTCATGATAAATGAGTTGAATAACAAATGGTGTCGTATGGTTTGCCTTACTTCTTGATGATAAATTATTCGGATTATGGCTCCTGGATCATAACCAGAGGCCCAAATCTTGATTCCGAAATCTGTTACCTTCTTTGTTACTCTCCAAGACAAGGGATCTATAATTGTCCAATTGACCAGAGTACAGTTATAAAGTCCACAACTTGAGTTTGCCTTGATCTTTTCCAATTTGGTCTTCAGGTGGGGACAATGATATTCCTAGCCCCAGTTAGCGGTTGCCCAACACACACCCTCCCATGTATTTCCACACAAGTGGCCTCCGTGGACCCCAGAGGCGAGATAAGAATTTCCACAATTCATACACATGTATTTTTCAGTTTTCCCATATTGTCTCCTCTGATTTAAATCTCCACAGCTGAGTAATAGTCCCTATCTACCGCTTGGTAGACATCAAAAATGACCGATACCAGGCAATTAGGACTATAAACCTGATTACTTACGGACAAAGTTTTCCATCCGTCATATTTATATTTCCTTTTCTTCATGGATCCCTCTGTTTTCAATTCTATCCAATAGAGAGTTGGAAGTACTTCAGGATTATAGCACATGACTATGTTGGCTGAAAGATCCTTGCAGAGTTTATATTTGGTTTGGTTATATATGCAATCACCCATGATCTGCCCTTTACATTCGTAGTGGCCATGGTATATCAATGTATGGGAGACTCTATCACCTTGCATTGTTACAGCAACACACTCACTGCAATGGTGGGAAGAGGAGTCCACACCTTCCCGCAGGGTTCCAGTCAGGACCCATACCAAGAGAGGTCCGGTCGGGATCATAATGCCCAGCGGTCACCGCCCCAGGGGTTGCAGCCCTCGGCACACCTTGTCAGCTGCAGCACCAATTCCCTCCTGGCCTTGCCCTCTCCGGCTTTTACTGGGGTGTGCCTCTCTCCTTTGTACGTGAGAGGAATTTTTTTACCCAATACTGGACTTCCAACACAAACAAGTGCTTGGAAAAGGTGAGGAAAAGCGGGTTGCTTTAACTAAAAAGTACATCTGCTTTCTATACGCTGTTCAATTAGAATTTACCTTTTTACAGAAGTCAATATGAACCTCCCTCAGCCATTCCATCAAGTCCTTTTAAAGGTGAGTTTGGTATTTCCAGGTTCAGTTATGACCCTCCATTCCTTTATAGGTCCCTTCACCCTTAATGCATGTGTCCATCCCTTTTCAGCCATCCTTATCGCAGTTTCTGTAGTTAAAAGAACTAGAAATGGACCTTCCCATCAAGGGTTAAAGCTATCTTCTTCCCAGCTTTTTACCAGCACTTTGTCCCCTGGCTGAATGTTGTGTATTGCAAAATCCAAAGGGGTGCTCTGGGCTAATAGCCCTTTAGCCCTGAGCTCCTGCATGTTTTTGTTTAATTCTATGATATAATGTTGAATAGTCATATCTTCCAATTTGGGATGATCTATTGGTAACCCTTGGGTATAAGGCATTCCATACAACATTTCAAAAGGTGAAATTCCAGTTCCTGAATTTGGCATAGTTCTGATATTTAACAAGGCCAGGGGAAGACACTTTATCCTTGTCATTTTTGTCTCAATCGTAAGTTTGGATAACTGATGTTTTAGAGGCTGATTTACCCTTTCCACTCTTCCAGAACTTTGGGGATGCCAGGGAATGTGATAGTCCCATTGGATTCCCAAAGCTGATATAACATTTTTAAGAATCTTAGATGTAAAATGAGATCCTTGATCTGAGTCGATTACTTTAATCATCCTGTATCGGGGAATGATTTTCTCAAGTAGTTGCTTTGCTACTGTCTGAGCTGTGGCTCTTGTAGCAGGGAATGCCTCAGCCCAGTGGGTTAGCTGGTCAATGACCACCAAAAGATACTTATAACGTCCCACCTTTGGTAATTCAGTAAAATCCACCTGTATCCTTTCAAAGGGTCAGTGAGCCAGAGGCCTCCCTCCTTTTGGTGTCTGTCTTATTTGTTTCTTATTAATTTTCTGACAAATTAAACAACCCTGCACCTCTTGTTTTGCAATTTCAAAACTTCCTATGCACCCATAAAATTTTAGGAACTGATCCACAAGAGCTCTAGCTCCCCAATGTGTCCGTTGATGTAACCTTTGCAATATCCTTCTGGCATACCGTTTTGGTAACTTTTCCCTGCCATCTGGCAAAATCCATTTATCGTCTTTCTGTTTAGCTCCTAATTTTTCGTATTCCAATATTTCACATTCAGAATAAGCATTTCGTTCATTCGCTTGTTCCTCTTTTAGTCCTGGTTGCTGAAGGGTTGTCAAGGTTAAGAGAGCTGCTCGCTTGGCTTCTTCATCTGCTAAATTATTTCCCCTAATTCTAAATTGCAACCCTTTTTGGTGTCCTCTAACATGAGTTATAGCTATCGCCTCAGGTTCTCGTGTAGCCTGCAATATTTGTTTTATTAGTTCTTCATGTACTAATCCCTTTTCCTGGGTATTCATTAAACCCCTTTCCTCCCATATTCTTCCAAAGGTGTGGACTATTCCATAAGCATATTTTGAATCCGTAAAAATTGTCCCTTTCTTATTTTGTAATCTTTTCAATGCCCTCAAAAGGGCATATAATTCACACGCCTGCACTGACCAGCTGGCACTCAGTGGCCCGGATTCTATTACTTCAAAATTGTTCCCATCTCTGATGGCATATCCTGATTTTCTCTTCCCTTCAATCACTCGCGAAGATCCATCTATAAATAATCTTTCCCCTTCCCCCAACTCTTTTTCCTCTAGATCTGGTCTAATCTTTGTTTGCAACTCTACTAAATCTATACAGCTATGCTCGAGTACTGAAGCCTCCTCCCATCCCCCAAACAAAAACTGTGCTGGGTTCTGTGCCGCAGTCGTCCTTAAATCCAAATCGGAGGAGTGAATTAAAATAGATTTGTATTTTAATAATCTATTGTCGGTAAGCCATTTATCTGCTTTCTGTTGGAGGATTCCTCTAATGTCATGAGGGGCATATGCTACTAAAGATCCCCCGAATGTAACCTTCCTAGCTTCTTCGACTAACAAGGCCACAGCCACCACTGCTTGCAAACACATTGGCCATCCTCTGCTTACCGGATCTAATAGTTTCGAAAAAT